ATGACTTAAACAAGGGAATTTCCATTCTCTTGATTCAATTATTATTCACTCCATGTTTGGATTCTCAGGAATGTCAAAACTAGATGAGGTCGTACCGACCACCGAAATCGATATGGTAAAATTTACGAATCCCATTATTTTACATAATCAGGATATTTGAAGGCACAAATTCCGCAGAAACCCTTTTCAGAACCGAATCTTTACTGGTGTTTCTCAGGCCCTCACAATGTACCGACTGTTTCTCAGTTCAGAAAACCCTGTAGGCTTAAAAAAAAATGTTCTTAATTTACTCTTTGCTTCCTGTCAGCTTCTGTCTGCTTTCTGAGAATTTCAGGAGACCTTGTTCACCACATGACAATGTCATTATTTATCATATAAGCTGCTTCGATAGAATATTTTCCCGTTAATGGCAATCCCTGGTTCACAGCCGGATCCGAATTACCCACTGCTTAATGTGCGTGACAAGTCTGGAAGATCACGCATTCTGCTTTGGTCACGTTACGTTGCTTTGATTTTGTGACAAGCCTTGTGGTTTCCGCTTTGTTTGTCTTGTTCACCTTCGGTGGGCTGTCGAAGTTATTGGCAATTGTGTTTGACAATTTTCACCTATTGTCTGCGTGCAGTGTACTGTACGGGACGTAACGAGCTTTTGTATCTTTTTCATTCACTTTCAGACGAAAGAGGAACGCTTTTTCAGCGCATTACATACCAAGGCAACAAAACACCGTTAGTGCACGGCCGGTAAGCATGCTCACTTTTTGTATGTTTTTCTTTGGGATGTTTACATTTAACGGATTGATTTACGGGAAGTTCTAACTACACGTGACGACTTTCAATCAAAGTATGTGGTTAGACCGCATCGACTTACTGTGTCGACGATGAGTTTGTAGACAATTTTTGAACACTCAAGTGACTCGGCATTATGTTTACATACATTAGGCTTAACTAGAATTAAAGGCAAATAAAGCTCTCCAAGCCATTTCTTTGATGTAGGAATGTCATAGATGTTAAGCCATTGCAACTTTTGTTGATTGGTTGTTTTACAACTAATCAACATTATAAAATTTATACAACCATTTTGCGCTAGTGACCATTTTCAGACTTTCTTTGTGATCTTACGTTTTGTTTCTATACTGTCGGTGGTACTTTCTCTTTAACCTCATAAACCATGAGCTATCAGCAATGACAGCATTAAACTATTTCTTGTTATACCGTATTATCTTAGTAAAAAATTTCATGCGTTTGCTTATGGTCCTGATGGTATAATGGGTATGTCTTCGAGAACCTTTCAACGCAATGAGATCAGTTACAAAGAACCTAGACAGAATTCGCTTTTGTTCTCTGGCCTTGAATTATCAAGCTAATGTGTTCCCTTTGCTACGTGTTGCGTTGTTGAATTGTGCAATCAAAGTCAGGTTTATTTTCCAATCTCACTTTGGCGATGCGAGTTCAAGTTTATACCGTTACAAGTAACTTCTATTTTTTATATCTACCGCCTGTTGAAGATAAAATCTTCCCAAAATTTTAAGCATGCGTGAAACTTAACCTAATCGCAGAAATCGTTCGACTGTTAAATTTATGCTCTGAAACTCTGATTGCTAAGAATATCCCTAGAGTGATCACTAAGAATTTTCTGTCCTTAATTTTGGTTCATATCTTGTAATGTGGAAATGCGGTGTTTAGAGAACTATTAATTAGTTGTGATGATTTAGTGATTGTCCCATTCACCAAGACATGCTGCATTAAAATTAGCACCTTTAACTATCAAGTGACATCACATTAAATAGGGCTGTTCTCGAGAGTTAACTAACAAATTGTTCTTTTAATTGTTACCCAGATTTGTGAATTAAAATTTGATAAATTTCCTTGTCACCCATTTGGTAGTGCTTTTGCAATGTATTCTTAAGTACTCTTGAAAGTAATTGTTTTGATACCCCAGTCTCCTAAATCTCGAACCAGCTCAAACGAGACTGGCCAAACTTTTCCAGTTGAGCAGTGTGATTCTGCCTTCAGACCCCCTTGATAACTCAAAGCAGATGCTTCAGACTGAAATCAGAAGTATAAACTGTATCATGTAACACTAAAAGTTTACAGAGATAATATTAATTCTTTCTCTATGCAAAGTGAGCATTTGTGACATATGGACTCTATTTAAAGGATTTCTCTGAGTTTTTACTAAAACTGAGCAAACTTGTGTATGTGTTTAATACACCTACAAAAAATTCAGCTTATGAATTATTTGAGAGCACTTCAATACTTCTAAGTAGTGAAGAAAGTTCAAACTTGGTGCAAAAATTTGAAATTGAGTACAGAAACTTGTTTGTTAATGGCAAGTAATCAAATCATTGGCATTAGTTTGAGTAAACAAGTCTGAATAGTTTTTCAAAGACTTTAAATTGTACTTTGAAGATTTATTCATACTGATTTTTGCAAAAAATAATTGTTTGGCTACCTGTGAAAATTGTATGTGGAGCATATTCTGTTTGGGTTTCTCAGTTCAGGTTAGAAGTGCTTTGAAGTAACAGTAAACAGAGTATATCAAATGAAATTTGTCCTAGTTTCATCCTAGTTTTATCTGACAAGTATGTCAGAAAAAAAAAACTATGTTTCCCTTGTAGGGCAATAGTTAATAACTTATTAATTTTTGGAAAATAAATCAATTTTACAGGTGAACAAAGACACTGACACTTCCACTTACATTGGCCAAACTTGTGATGCACTAAATGATTAGTATTGCAAGGCTCTAAAGATCCTTTAAACGAATGTTCAAAAAGAGTAATGGTGGTGATCAACTTCTTATTGCTGTCAAGCTCAATAAAATATCAGAAATCTCACGGCTTGTTGCCCTGGGTGTTGATGTCAATTCCAGAATAGACAGGGTAACAAGATTTTGAATTTCTCTTTTTTGTATGTTAAAGTAAGTGATTATTAAAGGAGGGGTTTAGATGGGATGCATTCATGTAGCCCTTTTTTTCTTAAGCTCATAGTGGAACATCCCATTAGGAAACCCTTCTTGTTTAGTCCGTTTATTTGAAAAACCCAAAGGGCTGGATGTATAGCATAGGTGCCACTGAGGCCTTAAGACCCTAAGTCTGTCTGAGGAAAAACTTGATCTCTACCCTGTTTATGACAACAAAGCCATGTAGATAATGGTTTATCACCCTGGTGGTAAAGCCATCTTTGATATATATTCAATCAGAATTGGATGACATACCACCAAGTTCACACCCCTTTTTTTGGCTTTCATTGCATTAACACACCCTGATTAAAGACCCCAAAAACCATTGCCTGTTGTGAAGCAAAAACCTTTTAAGGCTAAATAAGGGAGTGTACCTCCTTCCCTAACATCTGGGTATGTAATCATGTTTTCGAGAAATTGCATGTTGCTCTTGATTAAGATAATGTTAATGATTACTTTAGGCTGTATAGATTTCATTTATAGATTTGACACAAAAGACACTCTGTTTCAAGGGTTAAATTTGTGAGGTTTCTTCAATTAACTTCCCCTAAGATTATCTAAGTCATGTAAGCTCTCAGTTGGTAACTAATATGGGCTGAATCATTTCAGTTTTGGAGATCATATTTTCATTAATTTGTTCCAGAATGGTAAGACTGCTCTTCATTATGCAGCTTATAAAGGCCAGGCAGTAGCTGTGAAGGCTCTAGTAGAGGCAGGAGCTGACCTGGACATAACAGATGAGGTAGAGAAATCTTGAAAATTATTTCTTATTCATTAAGATGCTTTATTGTGTGGAAAAATGTACTTTTTTCCACATCTATTTTCCACTTCCTCCCAAAAACCAATTGACTATGCACAAACTCTAAAATATGGAAAATTCAAAGTCTGTCTGGAAATTGATTAAAAGTCTGTTTTACAGTGGTTTTAATGTTTAAATTTGCCTGTGGCAGAATGGAATGACTGCTCTTCATCGTGCCATTATTCATGGCCATACAGATGCTGTTCACATTTTATTGAATGCTGGTTGCTTGGTTGATCAGAAAGATGAGGTAAAATTACTCTAAGTTCTGTAATGTTTATGGGTTTTGTTAAAAGAAAAAGCATTTTTTAAGTCTTTTCTTGTTTTTGTTTCTATATTCTAATTGTTTTATTGGTGTAGACTTCAGTCACGTAATGTTTGAGAAAACTCTGTTGATTGATTTATTCTGGAGAATTTCCACTTGATTATTTCGTAGAATGGAAACACAGCTCTTCATGAAGCAGCCTGGAATGGTTATAGTAAATGTGTTGAGCTTCTAGTGGCAACGAAGTGCAATATAAATATTCATAACCGGGTAGGTCTACAGATTTGGGATCTGTACACTTGAAGAAGTTTTGTTCCTTAGATAATACCTGAGAAATACATTCTGATACATTAAACTAAAATGAAACTCTGAAATTTGCAACGAACAACTGTTTTAAACAAACCCAATCAGGGTCTCTAATGGTTGGCAATGAGTCGGTCACTAAGACTCTCTCTCATAATTTATAGCATTGTTTTTCATTTGGCTTTCTTTGCTTTCAGACTGGTTACACCAGTCTACATCTAGCTGCACAAAACTGCCATTGCAAAACTTTGCAAGTTTTATTAGATGGAGGTTGCAATGCACTTGTAAAGAACAATGTAAGTAGTTACTGAGTGCTTGATCAGGAGTGACATGTGACAGTTATGTTGCCAAAAAGGATAATTTTGTGACCATGGAATTCTATGCAAATTTTCCGGGACCTGATATCTCATTTAAGCCCGGATGTGACAATTGATATTTACCTGACCTTTTCGGTGAGGAGAGTAAGTGTTAATTAGAACATGGTTTAAAGTGCAAGTTAGATTGTTTATAGTGATAGTCCTTTAGTAAAAAGGGCTTTTCCGACTAAATGGGTGTTCATTGTTGACACAAATTCCACTAAGTTTGAACGGTGAATATGTTATGTTTCGAACAAACAATGATTCATGATGTGCGTTTCTTTTTGTTTAACTGTTTCGACATGTTGTTTATGTTTTCCCATTTTAGTATGGTGACACCCCTTTGCACATTGCGGTTCGCTACGGGCACGATGAAGTCTGTAAAGCACTTTTGGCCACTGAGCTCAACATCTCTGAACAAAATAATGTAAGAGATAACTTAACTTAAAGGAGCCATCAGTCGTATAACAGCATCATTCAACACAGGAAGCGCTGACTAGAAGAAACGAATGGGAAGATTCGGCAAGAGATTTGATGGGGGTTATTTTTGTTCGATATGTTGGTATATTTGTCCCCTTTTTCTAATTTTTCGTCACTAAAACTCGGTACACCACATCAGAGAGAAGGAAAAAGGTTAACTGACCATTCTCCTCGTCACCAGGCGCTATATTGGCTTTTATTGCGCTCCCTGTTTCTTCGGTACCTGTAGTTCAACAGCACCCGTTAATATTTACTGCAAAGATTTGAACACACGTGAATTCGCTCTGAGATAGGTAGCTAGAGTACTACTTTCTTATTTTTTGGAGGAGGACTTTCAGTTTGAAGAATGTTGCATATGGTGCTCTCGCGACTGGAAGAAGGGGAGGACAACAAGAGATCATTCGTTGCAATAGTAGCTTTTTTTTTTTTTTTTAACCGGGATGGTACCTCCCTTTTTTATTACCAGGATGGTAACACCCCACTACACATTGCTGCCAATATGGGACACGAAAAACTCATCGAAATGTTACTGAATGCAGGAAGCTCCACTACTGTCAGGAATAATGTAAGCAAATGAAAACTTGATAGTGATCGTTAGAAATGATGTATCGAGTGAGGTTTGAGAGGAGATAGGTTCGGTGTAAACGATTTCTTGCAGTACAACGAGGATTGACGGGATTTAAATTTGCCGCTGAACACTGCCAATGAAAAACGGAACTGTCGCTGACAAAGTCGTTCACCTAAGATAAACCATTTAACTGCGGCTTGCTTTTTGGACATTTTTACAGCTAATATCGAAAAATAAACTCAGTTTTAGAATTGGTTTATGTCAGTTTACAAAGTATTTCCCAATCGTTACCGCCAGAGAAAGTGACTCAAGATAGTTGGCATTCACAAATCCTTCATAATTTAAATGGGAGGGTTTAAAGGTATAATCCAATTTGATTCATTCCATTTGTATTTCAATTTCGCTTTCCTGGTTTCTTTGTTGTTTAATTTCTGATTGTCACTTTATCGTTTTCCTGCCCACACGTAAGAGATAACTAGAAATTTGAAGTAAGGAAGTTTCATATAATAGAATATCGTGAAAAGCCTTCCACATTTAACAAGATTTAGTTTGTAACCTTTGCATTTTGTCGCGGCAAGACGATAATCGTCTGGTCGATTCTAATTCACGCTGCTTCTTTAAGGAAGACGTTAGTGCCAAGAATTTTTTCGAAAAGACGAGTTATTTCCTCAAATGTCTTTAAGTTTCATTATGCCTTGGAAAATTGTCTTCATGTAACATCATTCCAGTGGTTAATATGATTATTTACCATTGTGTGGTACTTGCAGTAGAATCGACTAGCATCACGTGTCCTTTGCGTGTCACGTCGCCCTTATCTGTGTTCTGGCAGCATCACGAGCACCCTGAGGAATTTCTGGTTCTTTTCTGGATTCAACCCCAGAAGAAAGGAGTAAAAATATAATTTCCAAGTTCTCTGTTTGTACCTAGTTTAGTCAGCTAAAACTGGGTCTCGGCACATTACACGGCTTTATTGTGTGCATACTTTCCCTTTAATCTATACGGATATCCCCCTCTCAAGGTCAACTTCACACATCTTCGGCTAATCCATTTGATGTGAACAAGTTTATAGTCATACATATGCCTCTGTTATTTACGAATGTAAGCTGACTACGGTCATCTTTTCCTTCTCCTTACAAGGTTGGTGATACTGCAAGGCAGTTAGCCATTCAAAATGGATTCAAATCGATTGCCAAGCTATTAGGTCCAACTAAAGGAGACGCTCGGAAGGTAAGTAATAATCGAAATGCTTCGTGACTGTTAAAATGTTTTTCTCGGGGGAACAGGATCATGTTTTCTCCAGGACCGCTTGTAACCGCAGTGAATTTTTTCCTTAAAATTTTATCAAACTAGAAAACGCAAACGACAAGGGTGACGTGCCTATGAGATTCGAAGCCAGCATTGTTCAAAGCGTTAAAATACGCGATACACCCAATTAATCTCATATGCATTGTATATATTTGTAGAATTCATAGCCGTCTTCTCTATACAGTTGGCTGGCTAAACAACTTAATTTTTGATAGATGGCCAATCAGTTAACTGTTTGACTCGATCCATTATGGCTCATCGCGCAATGTTCTGGCTGCCGAAAATCCTTGAACTAGTCGCGGACAACATTTCTATTCTTTTAATTACTTGCGTTACAAACAGTGATGAATCCGGCGACTTGAGCGATCTCCCGAGACGGAAGTTCTAGAGATAATAGTGGTCGATTTAGCCACAGTTACTGGATCTCAGATTTCCAGGAGATACAAACAAGCATTGGGCTTGGTTTCTTAAAAAAATTATTAGATAATTAGATAAAAAAGGTTTCCACCCAGGATTAAATACAGATGGATTGTTCTATAATTATCACCCCTAGATGTTCCGAAAAGACAGAAAAGAGAAACAGAGACCTCATAGTTTAGATGTGTCTGAACTCTTCAGTGGTGTGACAGACTCTGCTGTTAATACCACTACTTCTCAGCTATGGAGACCGGGACCATTGTCTGAGGGCCGAGACGCCGAGGTGAGTTATAACAGAGAAATATTGTCTGATGTAGCACCATTTATTTTAACACTTTAACCCCGAAATCTAGTGAGAGTGGCTGAGTTCTAATTTCTCCTCAGATTATCACCCTGGAATTAATGAAAAGAAAAGGTCATGAGAATTAGGAAATGATCACCAGTTTTTAAAGCCACTGACTGTCGAACAACGTTGGAAACGTACAGAAAACAATGTGGAGATAATAAAAATTGATTGTTAGGGTGTTAAGGGTTAAAGGGGTACATCCTCCCGGTTAGCTCAATGGATAGAGCGCTGGACTGTTGTGCGGGAGGTTGAGGGTTCGAGCCCCGGCCGGACCAACACTCAAGGTCTTAAAATAATTGAGAAGAATATGCTACCTTTCTATAACATCAAGAAATGGTTAGATATTCTAGTCTTCTCGGATAGGGACGAATAAATGGAGGTCCCGTCTCCTGCAGGGTTAGGGGTAGGAGACGTTAATTTCCCACGCACGAGATTACTGTGTGATGGATGTCCTCCCCTGGGGTGGGATGGGTGGGTTTGTTGGAGCTTAAACCTCGTAGGGGACCCATGTCCTATTGTTTCTGCTCCAGTACTTGGTACAAATCCTCAAATAAATAAATAAATAAAT